GATCTGATATTCTATCAGTGCTTTCCTTCAATCTGTTGTGTGTAATTTCAATGACATTTTAATCTCCTGAATTTCTGTTTGGATCTGTTTTATTGATCCCATTTCATTTTTATGGTCAGCAATCAAAGTTTCCATTACTTTTCTGAGCTCCTCTAATTTTCTCTGTATCTGTGTCTGCTTTAATATCATTAATTTTGATCATTTCTTTTTGCACCTTAGAGATTCTTTTTTTCTTTTATTTTGCTCCTTGGAAAATCAAGAAGCAAACCAATCAAAAAACAACTAAAGCAAAATGACAGCAACAACAGTAACAATTAAAAAAACAAAATAGCTATATAGATTTTCAAAACAAGATGATCAGAATTTAACAATGATTGTTATATTGCATATTGTTATTTTCAAAATTATTACTAAGGTTACCAGATACAGGAATAAAACAAAACAGTAAAGTGCAATAACACATTAGATTTCAAATACAAGAGATAGGGAAATTCCCCACATTTGCTATAATGCATATTGTTATCCTCCAAGTAGATGTTCAGACTACCATCTTTAAGCCTTTAATTAAACAATACAAGCATTAAGTTTGTTTGTTTACTTCAGTTGCTATCATCTCAGCTTGACTTCCTCTGAATTAGCCTATTACTTATGGTGGGGGAAGGGAGATGTTGCTTGTTTTGTTTCCCAGCTCATGAACCAGCTGGTTCTTGGGAAGGTGTGGTTTGGCTCAGTCCTCTTCTGGTTCCCTATAGCAGCTGCCCCTGGCTGGCAGGAAGGCGTGGTTTGCCTTCTTGAGATTAATTTTTCGATAATCTCTTCTATCTGATTTTACTTCTGCTGCTGTTTCAGAAAATTTCAGTGGTTGGCTTCCAATTTCCTCTATCTCTTTGTGCTTTGAATTTGTCCATTTGGGGTTGCATTTGCTTCTCTGTCTTGTCATTTTTAATTTTCTATTTTTTTTCTGTGTTGATGCTTGTAGATTTCTTATGTTAGATAAGACTTATCCCTGGTATCAAGGTTTCCCTGGGAAATCTATGTTCCTCAGAGTGTCTTCTAGATGTAGGTGTTTTTTGGCTTCTATGTCTATTCCATGAGCCTACCTTCTTAATATATTAAGAGTGTGAGGTTGCCATTTGTTTGACTCAGGGTTCATTCCTTTGGTACTGGACTATGGTGATGGTTATGATCCCTTACAATCACAATGTTATCGTACAAGGAAGAAAAATTGATTATAATGGGTTTGACATGTTAAAGTAGTACAGTCAATATCATTAGACTCACCCACAGCCTGGTTACTTACAAACTGTGGTAAATGTTAGCCTGATACCTTCAACCATAGGAGCAAGTCCTACAGTTACACAATATAATCCAGGAACTTGTATGAAACGATTTTCCACTTAGAGTGATTTTACCTTGTTGTGTATTGGGTGGAGGGCAGTTTAAGGATAGAGGATACAATGGAGAGAAGAGTAGGTACAGGACTGGAAGGTGGATTATCTTTCAAGTTTTACATAGGATACAAGAGGGAAAGGTTGAAAGAGAAAGCCTAGGATTATTTATATGTCTCTTAATGAGAAGAGATGATGTTTACTCATAAAATGAAGCAAGGTAGTTGACAAAAGGGAGAAAGGGAACAAGTAGAAGTAAACTAAACCAAAGGTTAGCGATCTAAGTCACGAATGAAAGAGAAAAGAAGGTGAAAAAACCCACCAGAGAACAAAAATAACCACACACACACACACACACACACACACACAACACATACAAAAAGAAGAAACAAACATATAGAAAGAAAAGTGAAGCAAGACAAAATAGAACGGGGGGGGGGGGGAGGGGAAGAGTGAGAACGGGGCTACCCAATCCTTTCTGCTGTGTGTTTTTGTACCCAAGTGCTAAGCTGGTTCACCTAATTTACCAACTGTTTGCTCATAATTGTTACTGTTGCTTCAGACTTTCCCAGGCTTCTAGTCCCAGCTTCCCATAGCAAGCGCCCCAGTTGGGGTCCTTTTGTGTCACCTGCTATCTCTCCAGTCTGCCTGAGCCCACCCCATGGAGGGAAAAGTCACCTGTGGACTCTCCAGCCAGAAAAAGTCTTCTAGATAGAGCAAAGGGTCTTATAAGCCCTCTGGGGTGCTCTGGATGAAGGGAGGGGTCACCTGTTGATCCCCACTTTTGCTATTTTGATTTGCCTTTTGTTCTAGGAAAATGGATGGAACTTGGGGCCATCTGTTAAGTGAAGTAAGCCAGAAAGCTAAATATCATGTTTTCTCTTGTATGAGAAACTAAGAATGTAAATAAATGCATAAAATAAAGAGAGATGACAGAAACTGGAAGGTAGACTCTTAGAGATGGTGAAAGGGTGGGAAAGGCCGAGGAGGACAGGAGGACAAAGGGTCCTCCTGAAAAAGATCAAGATATTATATGCATGTAACAATTTCCCCAATATGAACAAACCTTACCACTCCTAAAGCAAGAACTCCAGCATGTGAAGGCTACCAAGAATACTTCCAAGAGCTGGAGTTATAATTCAAAGAAAAAGATGTTGCTTAAATTTGCATATAACTAATATGAGTATCACTAAGGTAACTGCCATTTGTAGCTCCCTGCTTTCCTCTCTTCCTGTCCCCCAACACTGAAATTTAGCACCCATGAGGAACAAGTGGATAAGAAGGTTGGTGATATATCATGTGCCCCAATCTTTTTCAGCCAATGAAAGTCCTCATTTTTTAAGAAAATAGAGGGTTTTATTTTAATGACTGTTTGATCAGCTACTTGAATTATAACTTGGATCTTGTTTTGTTTTGCTCTGATGCCAGTCACTGTTAGAAGACAACACAGTTTCATTCTGCTTTCAGACCTACTAAACCATGCTTTGAAACATTTCCAAACAAAATGCGTATCAGAGAAATCCTTTTTCTATTCATTTTCTATTTGAAATCACTCCACTGAGTTTTGTAGAAAGTAGTGTTAAGAAACAAAAGATGTTTCAGAATTGGTAAATTCTTTATTAAACTTTATTCTTACTTTTCTGTTTATTTTGTATTCTAGCTCCAAAAAGGAAGAAAGTAGAAGCTCACATGACATTTACTGGTTAATAAGTTAAAGACCATAATTAGTGAAACATAAATGTCAACTTTTATCCATCCTTTTCATTGAGAAATGGTTAAAAATACATGGTGCTCAAAAATATTCATCTGTAGATTTATGAAAAATTCATTTTTTCATAAATGCATATTTTAATGGATAAAATATTTGAATTGCCTTACAGTAAAACAATGTAGTAGCAAATTTGCTACTTTTTAAATGTTTTATTATTTTTGAGACAGAGCTTTGCTATGCAGCTTAGGCTGGTTTTGAACCTTGAGTTCACACTGTAGCCCAAGTTGGCCTCAAATTTATGATAATCCTCCCAACTCAGCCTCTCAAGAGCTGGGATTACAGGCATGCATCACCTTGCCTGGCAAATTCATACTTTAACATGTAATCCATAAACTGAAAATTTATTTATATCTGGAACTGCACCAGATCAGTAAATAACATTTTGAGGTCAACCTTGTGAAATAATAAGGAACATACATACACTGGTTTCTGCCCCAGTTCCTAACATAAAACTCCTAAAATCCTTTGAATTTCCTAGGCAATAAGGATTCTAGAAATATCCTTTGTTCTGGTATTTGGTCTTTGACTCAGGTTTCTAACACAGAACTCCAAAATCCTTTGGAAATTTTTGGGTGATAAGAGCATCATTTGTTCTAATGAGGGAACTTTTGGTGGCTTCTGGATGAAGGCTGAAGACCAAATTATGATTAGAAGCTTACAACTTGTTTTTCAGCCCAACTCCCAATCACCAGGGAGAGGAGATGAACTGAAAATTAAGTTAATAATCAGACCAGGTCTATATAATAAAATTTCTGAAGGCCAAGTTTCAAGAGCTTCTGGGTTGGTAAACGAATCTACCTGTTGGAAAAGTAGCATAACCCAACTCAGTAGGGACAAAGACTCTTGACATTTGAGGCTCTTTTGAACCTTACTCTTGGTGTAAGTTCATCTGACTTTTCATTTATAACCTTTATCATATCCTTTATTATATAATAAGCTGGTAAGCAAAAGTATTGGCAAGAGTTGCTCTAGTATTGTATAAGGAGGTTGTGGAAACCCAAACTAAACAGGCAACAGTGGTGTGTAATCTGAAGATTCATCACTTGAGAATGGCACCTGAAGTGAGGCAGACTTGTGGGACTGAACTTTTAACCTGTGGGATCTTTATTAATTTTAGGTAGACAATAACAGAATTAAATGGAATTTTAGGACACCCGATTTGGTATTTGCAGTGAATTGGAGATCTGCATTATTCAGGAACCCCTGCCCTGATCGGGTATCAGATGAGGCATATTGAGAGTGGTATCAGTACAGAGGAAAACTAGGTTGTTTTTCTTCATAACTTAAAACTGGCACACGGTTCCTAATCTTATACTTAATTCCTCTATAATGTTGGATAAGTCACAGGTTTCCTTGAGTTTCAGGCTGTTTGTAAAGTAATGGGAAGGGGACCATTTATTTCTTAGCCTGGCGTTCACTGCTCCCTCTCTGAGAAGTTTATGAGAGCAATGGAAAGTATACGTATATTCAGACACTGAAGTTATGCTAGACTGATGGGAGTACAGGTGCCTCAACACCAGTCTGTGGGCCTCAGACAAAGAATCCATGAGCTGAATGAGTTTCAGAGGCTTCTGCAGCTCTAACATCCTGTGATTCCGACCACATTTTTATTTTAAATCAGAGTAAGCACTTCCCTGAGAGACCAAATGTACACACATGTATGTATACAACACACACACAAGGAGTAACGCACAACATTTATAAGTGATGTGGTATTTCAAGTACAATACATATCTGGGTATGGATATCAATTTAGATACTGAATTGTGACTTTTGGGTATGGTGAAAATAATATATTTGCTATATGGAAATGAGAAAAATAAATCAGAGGTAGCAATGAATTTTAACAGGAGTGTGTGGAATAAGAGTTTTATTACAATATTTATGAAATTTTATATCCTCTAGCAGTACAGGTTCTTCTCATGCTGGCCATAAATTCCATGTAGAAAAACTATACTGATTCAGAGAACAGATTAGAACATAATGAGTTTCAAATGAAGACAAGAGAACCTTACCAATTTGAGATACATATTTTGAAAATGATTTTCAAGTAATTACTTTTTTACATTTTCAAATAAATACAGAGCCATATCAATTTGAAATACATATTCTGAACATGAATTTGAAGTAAGTTTTTACAGTTTCACACAAATAGAGAAGTTTATCAACTTGAAATACATATTTTAAACATAGTTTTTAATAATTTTGTATATTTAGCATGCATACTGTTAAAATATTCAGGTGAAATTATTTCACATTTTTGATTTAGTAAATAAGATAAACTGCCATATTTCTGTTTGAATAGTTTATCCTTAGGGTAGTGTGAAGCTATTTATTTATTATTTTAAGCAGTTAAAAGTAGGATTTTCTGAATATAACTGAGAAGAATTAAAGTACAAGTTATTATTTTGAATTTAATGTCACATTCAATTTTAAGAAAGTATAGTAAATATGTGATTTGTTTTTTCAGAACCAGTGTTTTAATAAAAGAAGTGGGTAGAGACAAAACTGAAAGAAAGAAGTAAAGAAAAATTTTTGCAGATCACACAAAATTGCTTTCTGAATAGTTAAAATTTACTGCAAAAGCTAGGACAAAGATGCATTAGGTTTGAAAGTGTTAGGAATTACCAATAGTTTAAGATTTGCTAGTGTTACATACTGTTACTATCTGATTTTATAATGAAATGGATAAAATTAGTGAAATTATACCTTGAATCACTTCAGATTGTTGCATGATGTGTAGTAAATAGAAAAAAAACTACATGTCACTAGCATTTTCCAATAACCAAATGGAGTCATTCATGTACAAGTTACATAATGTTAAACAAACACAACCAGTAAGAATTTATAGGAAAGAAAATAAAAATCTGTTACATTACATTGAACCCTACTGTCCAGATTTCAGTGTAAGGAAAAGGCATAAAGAGTCTACAATGAAGTAAAATTTTAAAATGTATATAATTATGTACATAATATATATAATACTTATAAATTCAGACAGGTTAGTTAATTTTCATTAGAAATGTCAGTTCATGACTTATAACTCATCTTTTAAAAATTGAAGCTCTCAAACTCTTTTCCTTGTATTTTGACCTGCATGGTAATTTTTGTTCTTTTTTTTTTTTTTTTTTTTTGTCTTTTTCCTTTTTTATCGGTACCGGGAATCGAATTCATGACTGCCTGCTTGCAAGGCAGGCGCTTATGCCACTGAGCTAAATCCTCAGCCCCCACTTTTGTTCTTTTATGTAATGGAGAGTTGGCTACATCATTATCTCTAGCTTGTATGAATGCTGGCAGATATTTACTCTTTAATGTCCAAATAATGTCCAAAAAAAGACTTCATTCTACAGAATTTATGGAAACGTGTTAAATAGTTCTACATGGAGCATGTAATTTAATTCAGTGCACAACGTTTTTAAACATATAAAATGATGTTAACTATGAATGTAAGTTCAGTGTTTGCATTCTTGAAATATTTTGTAGCTACATAGCAATAGTAAAATAAACCATCAGGTGAGAATCTGATGAACTCAGCCAGTTTAGTCAGCTACTCCAGGTGATTTAGGAGCAACAATAATCTTTTTCCCGACCCTGGATCATCTCTATTTAGGCCAACGTCCTCACTAACAATATTGGGGATGTGGCTCAGTGGCAGAGCACTTGCCTAGAATATGCAAGGCCCTTGGTTTGGTCCCCAGCACTGAAAAACAAAACAAAACAAAACAAAACAAAACAAAACAAAACAAAACAAAACAAAACATAACAAAACAAACACAACTGTTCTGAAGGCACTCTATCAACTGACCTATCAATAGAGAAGACTGCTTATGTATATATACATTAACTATATAACCTTTTCCTTTTCATAAAACTTACTACAGGCCTCTTACTAGACACAAGCATATTTCTCTACTTGGTAGGTGAAAAACAAAATGTCATAGTGGTGTGCAAACAGTGAGCTTTTCCAAGAAACATCATCTTTTCTAAAAGAAAGCTCTTCAGTGGTCTCCCATTACAGAGCACAGGTCTATACCAAACAGCAACCTCTCAAACTCTGCAGGAGTGTGATGGGTTGAAAGGTCCTCAGAGGACTTGGAATTCTATTCTTGGGTGAGTTCCAACAAAATGTCCTTCATGTGCCCTGGAAACCCTTGAAATTTTTAAGTATAGTTTTTTCAGAATATTAGTAAGCTTAGTGTATCTTGGTTAAGATTATATTTGGTACTCAAGATTAATTTATTAATTCTATATACTTATGGTGTACAATATTATGTTGTAAATATTAATGATTTTTAGCTTGCATTTACTAATTAGGGAAAAAAATGTTTGTACAAGATGTTCTAATCCATGACCCTTAGGTGATGTACTGATGTTTGTTTCACTCAGATATTCATTTGGGTGCTATTAACAGGAATCTAAAATTAGTGCATAGGCTATCTCTAGTAGGTGATCGAAGGTATGTATATATATTCCGGTTTACTAGTTACCTCCGTTCTTACCTAGATTGTCAAATAGGTTATTATTGCCTTTTATCTTAAGGAAATTATTAATGACAATTAACCTTTCTTAAATTCATAAAACACACAGGAAAAACTGGAAAACTGATCAAGCAAGGGTTATTATTGACCTATTATAAATAAGAATTGATATTAACACAGGCAAAATAAGTAGAAGGAATGGAATCCTATTAAAGAAAACACAGACACACACCCTGTACTTCATTAAATATAAATACTTAGGTCAAAGTGAGGTCTCCCCCATCTCATTTTGAGATAACAAAGAAAGGATTTTACACACTTGTGTATGACTTCCACTTGACTAACAGCATTTAAGATAATATTCACGGTATTTTTTGATCAATCAGTGCATTGCTTTTTAATGTGTGTGTGTGTGTGTGTGTGGAGGGGGGGGCTAGATTTCTAAAAGTGAAATTCAGTTAGTCCAATTTGCCCATGTAGAAATTATTTCAGAAACAGGAATTGATAAAAAATTGTGGCTTCGAAGATCGATGATTTTATTGAATAAAACCTGATTTTTGTCACTTTTAACAGCCCATAATTAATCTCCTTTGTTGAAATGAATTTACATTGATAAGTAATTTTGATGCTATTGAATTTCTCATGACCTAAGGTATTAAAATTAACTTTTCTAAATTATGTAAAGTACAAATTAAATATTGTTTGTACTCAATTATTAATCTATTCAAGAAAAAGGCACTTAGGTTAGACAAGACAATGTTTGTCATGTTAGTTACTGCTCTGTATTTATACCAACTTGATCTTCATAACAATCCTATGATAGAGGAATTGTTATTTTACAAATGGGACATCTAAGGCTGAGAGATGAATTCAGTTACAAGGTCACACATACTTAGCAAGTGAAGCCTGGAATCTGTGATAGTTTGGTTCTAGCATGGTGCCCTTCAGCACTGTGTTATATTGTTCTTCTTCTACTGTATCATAATCACGGGCAACTGATACTTAGGCATGAGAACAGTATGTGTTTTCAAAGAGTACTTCAGTTGTTTAGGCATGATGAATTCCAAGCTGCTCACAACTGATCATGGATCTCTGCAGTCTAGTAGTTTGTTTCACTTAGATGGGATTTGCCTTCATCTGACCAAGTAAATATAACCTCCTGCCATTTAAATAAAACACTGCCTTTAAAAAGCAGGTATTTAGAGTTAGGTTTTTATGCATCAGAGCTGTACAGTGTAACTTAGTGTGGTGACTCCATATTGTCAATACAGTGACAACAGGGAGTAAAGGAATAAAGCCCACATTTACATTCATAGACATACTTTCTCCTTATTCATCACTTAACTATAAATTAGAAAAACACCACCCATGATTAAGATATTTACAAAAACATATTGTTTTATAGTTTAAGTATCAAATCTCTCAATATTACTTAAGTTATTTAAACATCAATGTGGGTCATGTTTAATTTAAAAACTAAAAACAGTACTAACCAGGAATCAATATAGTATATTTTTATGTTGTGAGAATATTTTCACAGCCAAGTGATTAAATAAAACCTTCTAGTTTCTCCAATTTACTCCAAATCCAGTTGATTTTAAAGAAATAAGCATGTTTACGTTTTAAACAATTGGAAAAATCTGGCATTTGATCACTTGGAACTTAGAATAAGAAATCTGTTCTACTCTTTGTCTCTTTGTGTTCAGAGACCTAATTCTAGGCACTTATTAAAAAGGCATATTTGGAAATTTCCAGTACTGTACTAAATGATAGCCCTATAAATAGCCTGAACTACTGTTATTTGCAATTAAGTTACATTCTTTCTCTTTAATGTTAAGTGTACTAAATCTTATGGTATACTCTATATGTACAAATTAAAATGTTGCTTTTAATTTAAAGTAAGTAGGACAGAATAATGCACTATTGATTTGTATGTAATTATATAGTAGAGAAGTTTGAGCTGCTGTAATTCATTAGTAAAGAGAAATATAATAGTTAAATCTTTATCATATTCATATGTTATTTTGTGTTTGCATGTGTGCATGGTACTGAGGTTGAACCCAGGGTCTTCTTGTAGAACTACATCCCCAGCCCTGTTTTCATTTTTAAAAACTTTGTTTAGGGTCTTGCCAAGTGGGCTAAGTTGCCCAGGCTGGGGTAGAACTTGCCATCCTTCCTCTCGCCTCAGCCTCCCACAGCATTGGGATTAGAGAACTATGCCATCACACCTGGATCCTATTACTGCTTTTAGTAAGTTATTTGAAGATGATTCATTTCAAACTGCCAGCCAATTTAATGTAGGATACCTGTTAGCCTGAGCAGAATGACTCAGTCTTTTTGTGTGAATCAAAAAATATTTCCTCTGAAATCCACTTTTAATTTAAAAACAGAGATAGCATTTTTCACATTAGATTGAGAGTAAGTCCTCCATGATGATGTTAGGTTCCCTCTGTCACCTAATTAGTACTTATCTGCACTTGTCACTCAGTCATTTTCAGGGAATCAGTGCTGGTTTACACAATGCTAGTCTGCATCTTAGCAAAACCTTTCAATTTCCAACATACTTTCAAATGAGAGCTGGGGATGTAAAATTATACAATATGGTATACAGGGCTAAATATCTTTCAAAGTTTAAGTATTATAAATGTACTTAGTGATCCACTGTTTACTCAAAAACAGTAGTAGAAAAGAAAACCAAAAAAGGGCATGGGTCGTGAGAAGAAATGACAGTTCCCTGCATCTCCTGCCAGCAATAACATTAGTTTTACTAACAAGTAAGATTGGATTTCTTTGAATACTTAACCAACTTCAGCAAAAAATCTGAAAATCTACATTTAAATCAGTCAAATTGTTTTAAGGGGAGTATAAATCCTAGCATGAAAATAAGTACATGATGGTAGTGTTAGGTTTCTGTGATCACCCAGTTTTTTGTTTTGTATTTGTCAGCAGCCTATGCAGAAAAATTGTTAGGTGTTTGTAGATGAAGGGATAGTTCCATCTTCAAGACAGAAAACCTCATATGAATTTTCAAAGTGCATCAAAGTATATGCTTATTGAAATACAATAACCTTTGCAACAGTCTTTGGCACTTGACTTTTCAGGTAATTGGAAGGGAAGCTTGTTGCTGAGGGGAATTTGAGATGTTACACCAGAAATGCGTAGTCAGTATTCAGCTTCTGACTTCCTCCACTGGTCTCTGAGAATCGTAGCAAGGCACATTTGGAGAGCAGGGCTTTCTAAGAGAAAAATAGTTTTCTAAATCCCAAAATATCCTCAGAAGGTGGCCTGAGTCAGAGAGAGCTATCAGGAATACACGCAAGAATTCAGTCTCCAAATGACAGGAGCAGGAAGTAAGATGTTACTGTGCAAAGGAAGGGAGAGGTAGGTTAAGGAGGTCGGAGTCCACTTTGGGACTAAATTTGGAAAGGGGTGAGATGCACAGTAGACCCTTCAGACCAACAGGGGAGTTCAAGAATTCCGACTCCTGTCTGGGGCTGTAAAATACACATCTCTGAGAAGCCTAGATTCAGCCCAGTGCTAGCTGGGTACAGGGTTAGTGGGAACCATGGTCCTCCCCAAAGAACAAGATGACCCCGCAACAAAAGCTAGAATAGAAGCCAGATGGGAAAACAGATCATCTAAAAGGTATCTGTTGCATCAGCAAGGAATGGAAACTATCAAGTGAGAAAAGGCACAGTACCCTGCAGTAGTGGAGCAGGAAGAACAGGTAAATTTACGAGCTATAGCCTGAGATGAGATGACAGCACTGAGTTCATAACTAGGCAGGGGGACCGCTAAGGATTATGCAAATGAAGGGAGAGTCCTATCCTCCTGACACAAAACCTCGCATGAGTTTGAAAAGCTTTTTTTGAATACATCCTCCCTTCCCATCATTACTGCTTCTATAGAGTATAGTAAAAGTCTTCCTTTGCTAGCTGGCTAATGGGAGTAAAAAGGAAAACTGACCCTTGTTAAAAATGGATGAATTAACAAGACGTAAGGCTCCAACATCTTATACTCATAGGCTATTTTTAGTTGTCAGGTTAGCTTCCCAATCTATCATTCACCAGTTCTCCCTTATTAGCGCCTCATGATGTTTAGAGAGATTATGAAGTCCAGATCTTATGGTGAATATTAGGAGCTGTGGTTTATTTTGCCTATTCTATTTTGTAATTCTATTGAACGGTGACATCTGAAGGCTTTATACAAAAGACACTTACTTTACTTCACAACAGTATTACTGTTTCTCTTTCTTTTCCATTTGCTGGACCTGGAGCTGTTATCTTACTTTTGGGCACAGACCCGGATTATGAGGTTGGAGCGACACGCAAGGGTGGCGATTTTGGTGAGTGACTAGTTGTTTCGAAAGATATGATGCTCCAACTCAGTGAAGCCACACTTTGTTAGTATTTATTGTCTTTCTTGAAAATTTGCAATTTCAACACAGAAGCAGAATAATTAGACATCTGGTCTTGTGTTTGGCAATTCATATGGTGTATTTCTTCTACTTTCATAATTCTGTCAATGCGTCTAAGTTATCTTATGAAATATTCTGGAAAATTAGGAGGTCATGATCACCTCTAGCTCTTAATGCTTTTATGGTCATTATTTTCACCAAAACACTACAACTTCCTTAAAATTGTGCAGTGCCTCTGGATTACCTATTAGGAGAGTTTTGAATATATTTATATAAATTGTACTGCTTTGTTCACAGCCAAATCAAGTCCACATTCCTTAATATGGAATTCAAAGTCAGTGGTATGTGGACCTTGGTTTCTTCTTTAGTCTCATCATCAGCCCGCCCCCCACTTGCTGCCATGACCATATGAGTATTCTTTTTTGTGTATGTGCTGTCAACTAGTTTGAATACTCTTTCTCTTTTCCTGCCTCTAGCATCTGCGAACCCTGTCTGCTCAGATAATGCTTCAGTAACTTTCAGATTATGTATTAGATCTGCCTTTCTGCAGAACGCCTTTGGCCAACCTTAACTTTAAGCTGGGAACTATTGTTTGGTCCTCTAATAGTTCCCTAAGACTCCCTAGCGCTCATGATACAATGTAGCTATTTGTTTATGTTTTTATTTCTTCTTCAACTATAAGCTAAGGAAAGAGGAAATTCTAAAATGTTCACTAGTTATCCTAGTTATCTCCAAAATTTGAAGGGTGACTGACACACAATACAGGAAATAGTATGTAGGTGGTTGCTAAAAAAATACTGTTTTTCAACTTAACTCCTCAACCCCCCAAAAACCTCACTCTGTTTTGTTTTTGTGCTGTAGGGTATATTTTCTTTTAACTAAGAATTGGCTATGATATGCTGATATAAAATGTTTATACAGAGAGGCCAGGAATATAGTTCAGTTGCACAAGCTCCTGCATGGCAAGTGCGAGGTTGTGAGTTCAAATGCCAGTTTCGAAAAAAAAAATCATGAAGTTTGTATTTTTAGTGTTGCACATGGTGCTGTGATCCTACTTTCAAAGTCAAAAAGGACAAGCAGTGCTAGTCTTTTTCTTTTTAAAAATGAAGATAATATCAAGATGCCATTAGTTGAAAAAATAGATTATGCATTAATTATATTTTTCTGAACCATACAGCCCCAAATTACAATATTTCTGGTAGGAAGCATAAAGAAGAAAGCTTTTTAGATAGTAAATGATAATTTTTCTACCATTTAGCATCTTGATATCATGGATAATAAGGTTTTGTATGATCCTTTTATGATCATTGCTCAATAATCAAGGAAAAAATCTTATTTACTATTTAAGACAGCTCTTCATTTAAATCTTGAAAGTCGTATCTACTCCGCCAAAAACAGAACTTTTGTTTCATCTGTTTTATTCTGATTATCAATGAAAAAGCATTTTTTGAATTTTTTAAATAAAAATTTTGATATTTCTTGTGACTGTGAACATTTTACAAAATTAAAATACATAGAATACTAAAGTCAAAACAATTTGTTAAAGTGAGTTAAATGCTTCCATATGAAAATTCCTTCCTATCTTTAGTCATGTGAAATACTGGGCTTACCATGTGAAGTAAATTCAGGCCAGTGTGTTTAACCTAAAGAGTGTAAGACACACTGCATCTCTGCTCTGACGAAAAACATGATACATTGGTATTAATACTCCTACACTCTTCTGGTCTTTCTTACGAGTTTTAAAGTCCTTAAAGAATAAAATATTATATAAAATACTGACTTCAAATCTCTGCTTAAGAGCCCAATTTAGGAAAGCTATGGTAGAAGTCTATTATTTTGCTATTATTGAAAAAAAATAAAATTTTGAGGCTACCAAATTAAAGCTGCATTAAAAAAATACCAAATCAGTGTGGACATAATTGTTTCATACTATGCAGTTCTATTGGTATGTCTTAAATAGTAAGACATGAAATGAAAGCAACTTGATCTTTATGGGAACACAGTTTGATGCATAATTTAAAATTAAGCTTTTCTGGGTGAGAATGGTAAAATTCTTAAAATAACTGTTGTCTAAAATAGTTAATAACAAAAATAATACAGAAGTAAACATCACAGCCTAAGAAATTTAAGCTTTGTGTATAATTGACAAAAGAAAAACATGTTTAAGTGGGTTTCATTTAGGATAATTTGTGTTTGGTAACTTGGATACATCTGGAGTTGATATTCTAAGAGCAATTTCAAAAGATAGTAAAAATTAAGCTCTATTGTATGTCCTGAAAACTGTTTACAATGCTATTTAAATATTTTATTCATATCTATCTAAATATGGTCAGTGACACTAATGTCACATTGCAGAGTTAATAAGACTGTACATTTTCTTTAAAGTAAATAAGGATAGTATGCTTCTTAGCTGTCCAATTCATATTTCTCTGAAAGTGCTTTGTCAGTTAATGCTTTCAGCCAGCTTAAAAGTAAGGCTTTCGCCATTTCTCATGAGTGGTATGAAAGCAAACAAACCTGTGTTTAACAATAAGGTCAGCATGACACAAAGCAACAAGAGCCAGTAAACTGAAAATGAGCTTGACATTCTGGGACTAATCCAGCAGTCCTGCAAGAGTCTTCCAAACTCCGCAGCTGCACAGGGCTTGGACAAGCCTGGGCGCAGCCTCCAGGCATGTGCCTAGAGCTCTGCCTTGGAATGAGGTCAACTCCTAGGAGGGAACGGATCCCTTCATGTTTTCCTTCTCTTAGCAGTAACCCAGCAGTTGCAGCCATAAACGTGCTATCTCACTTATCACCAATGTTCCTCAAATTCTTAAATCTTCTCCAGTTCTATGGAGGATAAATTATTAAAGGAAACTATTCTCGGCTTATCATTTTTAATTTTTAAAGACACACTGATTCAGGACTCTGGAGGTATAATTTTTATTAGTCCAGCTAACTGGTGGTTTGTGAAGCTATTTCTTGAGTTCGAATAGGGTGTAACACAATTTGAACTCAGTTATTTAGCCCAGTGCAACTTGGATTTATATTATAGCATATTAACGAATGCAGGTTGAATTGCATTCAGTAATATGAAATCAATAGTTAGTTTTACTTCCTTTAAACAATTTTGAATTTCAGGACCAGAGAGTACAGAATAATGTTAATAAAATAGATGGCAGATGCTAGGTACAAAGAGAATTTCCTTTTTCACAACCTTGATAGGGGTAATTGTGAAACCAGAACCACAATTCATGACTTAGTCTAGTGGTTGTAAACAGTTTAGGACTTGGCAAACTTCTTTAGACTAGATGGCTGTGCATTTCTTTTAAATTTAAATGATGTGGAAGTGCTCCAGATCCCCTGCTACTTAGAAGACATACTTGGGGAAAACTCTTTCCTTGAGTTATTCTCTTGTCCATTTTGCTTTATCAGCACTGGCACAGTGAGTAACTGAATACAAAATTAGATGAAGATCTCTTTTATCATAACCCTCTCCAGGAGAGGAATATTATTTTTGGTTGATAAATTCGTGATTTTTAACCCCATTGTTGAATTTTGTATAGTTACTGCCCTAGTAAAAATAATTTGAGCACTATTTTTATAGCATGTAGTTCATAGATTTCTGGAAGGGTGTGTTCTAGTCAAACTATGCATATTTTAAAGAGAACTAAAAAATGTCAATGTCAATATAATTATTCTTATATATTTATAATAAAAGTATAATAGGCTCATCAGATTTCTGAGAAAACAGACCCCAAACTCAAATGACTATCTTTTCAAGAAAAGAAATTAACTGAATATATCCAGCCCTAATTCCAAATCAAATCAGCCAAATATATAATCACACTGTGGTAGAAGTAAAGAAAGTGGATTCTTTGGATTTCTAGTTTCACTATAGAATACAGATGATTAGTTTGATAAAATCATAGCCAGAACCATGCGTTAATGAAAAGACAAACATGACAATTACTGTTTCTGAACACCTATATACTTGCTTTGTTTCCATTTCTATTTATCACAAAACAGATGGAAAGGTTTAATGAGAGAGACTGTGTAACTTACACTCATCCAGCCAGAGTGTGGCAGGAAAAGAAGGCCCGGTTCCAGGTCAGTCTGTCTATGAGGCCATCATTACATTCATCAGTAGCTGTGACTAATCTGAGAGTTACAGGTCCACCTGCAATGCCTATATGGTGCAGTGGAAAACATATTATCTGTCATATTTGCATATCACCTCTGGAGTGATACATTAATGTTAAAAGTGAAAATATAATACCATAGAATTAATCTAAGTAAAAAGAGCCACATCTTTCAACATTAAAAAGTCGTATTAAACTGTAAAAAACAAAACAAAACAGAAAACAGAGGTGTAATTGCTTCTGACTCAAATGGCTTTTCAATTTTTTTAAGAAAACTTTTCACTTACTCAACAATCTATTTCAGCACTCTTCAAGTATTCTTGATACGTAACTTGTCTTCTTATGGTTAAATTTTGCTTTAGAGCTACCAAAAAGAACATGGCCTACATAAAGGAAGATAAAGGTTGTGTGACTATGTAGTAATAGAGATATTAGTAGTAGGAATTTGTATAGTAACAGATTTAGAGGCTAGATATCTTCCATTTGGTAATGTTACATAATTTTTGGAACTTAATTTTTCCTTATCTAATCTTAGCCTTAAGTATTAAATCCTATTGTTTAGATATTTACATTGTGGACCAACATCAAAATAAAGAATATCGAACATTCTTTTGAAGCTGTCAAACAATGGTTAAACCCAACCCTGTGCCCCATATATTGTATTCTCTGATAATTAAGTAAATTTAGAGAAATTTAAAGTAATTTTGGAAATTAAACAGTGATGATAAAGGATTTATACAATCAAATTATTGTTTTCATTCAAAGTAGTGAGAATCAGATAATGAAATGATCACATATCAACTGTTCCCTGGGTTTAATACCTGAGTTTAAAAGGACAACACAGGTTTTGGTTTTGATTTTTAGACACACTCAACATTCTTGTAATTATGTCAAACACTTTCATAGAAGTAAATTCCCCTTAATTATCGTGTATGGGATATATCAAAAATACTATTAAGAGATCATTTTAAGGAAAAATAATGAACTGCTTTTTCAATAAACAAATGTCCATATTGATTTAGTGCATATAAATTACTGGCCCCTGACTACATTTAGAAGTTATTTAATATCAATTTTAAAGTAATGTCTTTATGCTACATTTGTCTTACTAAAATTCTATGTAAATAATATATTATACCTATTAAATCTCATGAATGAAAGTTTATATACTCAACAAATACTTGATTGCTCACTATTTGTCAGACACTTGTGATTTATACTTTCTACTGGACTGTAATTTTTTTGAGTTACAGAACTTCATCAGCTCCAAATTTTCAAGAAGCTTATTAGTGTATTTTGTATTTTAATAGCAGGTATTCAATAGATATTTGAAAGAAATTACAAATGAGGAAAACTTTATATTGATGCTTTCAGTACAAAACAATTCAATGCTACTTAAATATAAGAAACAATTGTATTTGTGGAATTTTTAGTAGGGAAGGAAGTAGTATTCTGCACAGGCAGTTTTAAAACATACAATAAGAAACAAAAGTATTGTCCTCAGTACATAAAAATGTACTCATACATTTTAGTCAGTAAAGAGTGAGATCTCACAAAGTAGGAGAAAGTGAAAAATTTTAAAGTGTTCAAGAAAAACGAAGATGAAGATAAGATCATGAGAAAGGAGACAGAAAAAAGTTGTAAGTCATGAGTACAAATAATGTCAGCAATGAAACCAAAGAATGACAGAGACCATGGTGACAAAAAACACAGAATATATCCTTCAACTTTCTGTCAACAAAACAGTATTGTCCCATCTCAAAGAGATGATCAGATTTGCAGAACAGTGAGAAGTTTACAAATACACGATTTTTTAGGTCAGAAGTTTACAAAATGGAAGGTGAACCTAGAAGAAAGTAAAACACCTTGAAGACTTGAAGACTACAGAAATGTTATTTGACTAGGTCTTGAAAGTTGATAAATGCATGGGATTCATGGTATCAACAGAGAATTCTGGAAGAGAAGTTAATGTTAGAAGATTGTCATGGTTGGAACATAATATGAGTATATCAAGTTGACTGGCTGAAATATGATTGCTAAGGATGAAGTCCAGGTAACTTTTTAAGGTAATAGTATTTTTTAAAAACCCACTTGGAAATTCCAGTATGCAGCTATGAGTGATAGGTGACTGAAAACCAGTGAATATTTCTCAGTGATAGTATGATATAATTAGATACTTTTCTGGAAGATAATTGCAGCCTGAAGAGTGAAGAGAGAAATATATGGTATGAAGACTGAAGAACCAAATACCACAGAACAGCATGCTGTATTCCATATATGTTATAGAAAAAGACATTTACATGGAGATTGTGAGAGAGCGACCATTTCTATTCTAATGTTGAGAGTACTTGAAATGTGTGCATTAACCTTTCCTTGAATGTTATAACCATAAAGTTAGGTTACGTATCAGATTTGACAATAGATCTAATCAACCCAAGCCAAGGGTATTGGTTAGAGCTTATTTTAGTTTCTATTTTAAAATCTCCAATGAGAATCCATTATTTATAGATAGCCCATAGCCATCTCAATTTTTAAACTGAAGAATGTATGTTAAAATTATGTTGATAATTATGCCAATTTTTCATCATATGAAACCACTTTACCTTGTTTTAAGGGTCATATATTTATTAAGAATATTTTTGTGTTATTCTCCTTTGGTAAGCCTCAAATATTTATCAGTTAAAAGAAGTGAGTAATTAAAATGCATTAAGAAATTAGAAACTGCTTAATAGACTTTCTACACTATTTTATTATTAATGATTAATAGTGCAATTTTTTGTAAGATAGCATTGTGTAGAAGAAACAGAAAAAGTTGAGGATATTAGGTTTTCTGAGTTGTTAAACATTGTACAAACATATGTATGTCTAAAATGGATATTTATGAAAGAACTCTAATTTATTTGATTGAAATTCATTAGTGGTATAAATTTGGTGCCTATATGTTTTTTTCCTTTTGTTTTAAAAGGGATTTCCAATGATACATTTCAGAAAAGAATGCTTATCCCTTCCAAAGGCATATTTTCAGTTAAAACAACAATGTAAACTGTGTTTTCTAGTTGCTGTAATTGGTTGTATCATTTTAAGCCAGTATCTGGTATTTCCTAAAATCTCTCTGCTATTTGGGTCCGACGCACTCAAAAAATTTCAACCTGAGATTTGTCTATTTCCTGAAGCATCTCTCTTACATTTTGGATCAGAGACACAAAACAATTCACCTGAGATTTATCTACTATGCTTCATTGAAAGAGCATCCTCCTCCACACTGTTTGAGCAGTGGAGAAAAAAAATGATAACCCCCCTCACCCTGGCTTTTGTTAGATTTGAGAAAATGATAATAAGAAGCTCTGGCCAAAAGAAGCATTTGACAAGAAAGATAATATTACACCACCTTTAAAGGCAAGGAAATTGAGAACAGCTTAGGCTAATTTTCCACATGCCAATGATGGAGAGGAGGTCCTAGAATTTTCTGATTTTTATTTCTATTTGAAATAATTTATTTTAGGATAACCCTTCACAAAGAAGTTTAGAAAGAAAAACCTGCAAAATTCCCACTACTGTGGTCTTAATGATGCAGTTGCATATTAACTTTCTTTATAGATCAATCTGTGTTTCCAATTTGGGAAACAGTCAGGATAAGACCTGTTTTCCCTATCATTTCAGTGGTTTCAAAGTCTGGACCTATATATTTTGTGTTAAAAAATTCTGAAAATTTGGCTAAGGTTATGAATTTTCACAGAAATATTTAATTGTTGCCTTCCATTTTAAAGGTTCATTTGGAGAATTATAGAAATAAAGGGAAATTATCTAGAAATAACACATATAGCTTTTTACTATTACAGTTCTTTTTTCTCCAAAGTAGATTCGTTAGATGCAAAGTTAAAAATCCTCATCTAAAGTGGCATGAAATAATAAGGATAAGACAGAGCTTACTTCAAGTTTTAGCATTCTTTTTCATTCTTGTAAACTCAAATAAAATGTAAGTACACAAAAACACTTTAAACATTCTACTTATGTTTTACAAGAGAAAATCAGACTCACAATTTTTCACATAAATTTACACTGCATGATATGTTATAAAGGTAAGGCTTTCAGAAGAATTTTATAAAAACTAGAAACCTCATAATCCTAACCACCACAAAAATACATACCACAAAATTTAGTCTTTTGAAAGAAAAATATGACATTCATTTTTTATGAAAGAGAAGAGGTTTCACCATCCCTGCCAAAATCTTGGGTAACTGGGCAGCAATAACTTCAGACATCATTTCTGGAAATTCCACAGCCAGTGCCCGGGACTGAATAAATGTATTCAAGCAGTACAGATGAAGCTGTTTGACGAGCTTTAGGTTTAACAAATAGAAAAGAAACATGTAAGAAAAATAATAAATCCACAGGCTATTCAAACACAACTTATTTTCTAACATTAGAAACACTTGTCAAGATGTTTTATTCTTACCAAAATGAAAATAATTCCCACTACTCTCTAAAATAAATGCAAAATAATTTACTCTGATAATATAAGATTTAAAGAAATAAATGTAGTCCATGTTCCCACAAGATAAGTGAAGTGAATATTCTGTTGTATTTTTGTTTTGTGTATGTACACAGGCATTTACAAGTATATATGCAACATTATACACACAGCATTTCAATATGCAATTATTTCATAAATTCTACCTGGGTTTTCCACATACTATTTTGGTTCTGTCTCAACAATTCAACATAATTTATTGTATTATAATTTTTATTTTATTAAATTAAGTATACAATTTAAAAAGTCAAACTGTACTGTAAGATTTGTATTATAAGCAGCAGCAGCAGCAGCAGCAGCAACAACAAAATCTAGCAGTTTCCAGAATGTCTTTCTATTCTAATTCCACCTGCCCAGATAGAATTTTTGGCCTGTGTATTTAACACATTGCTATTTCTACTAAATTCTTTCTTCTAATTTTGACATTATTGATTAAAGATTGGAAAATGAGGATTGGAAAATAGGATTTAGCTCCTTTTTTAAAGCACACAGGTCATTCCTCAATGAATTTCTCTCCTTCCATTCTCCACATAGTTACGTTTTAAATTTTTTCATGGATCAATATCCAGCATTTGTATTATAAAGATTTGTATTGTTTCCTTCTGGATTAAAATTTTTCCTATAGGGGCTGGGGATTTAGTTCAGTGGTATAAGCACCTGCCTTGCAAGCAGGCGGTCGTGAGTTTCGATCCCTGGTACCGATAAAAACGAAAAAGACAAAAAAATATTTTTTTTCCTATATAACTTGTTTTTATTCTGCAAGAGATAGTCACTTGTGCTCATTTGTTTGTTTTCTACATATTTGTCACAAGTCTCCGCCAAATTTCCTGACAGAATTGTAAGATAGCATCTCAGAACAGATATGCACACTGAACACCTCCTAGTTCCATTTTTCCCCTGAGGCAGGTGGTCTAGAATATTCTGTTTCAAACAAAATTAGTTATTGTTCTGTGCAGTTACTGTGTTTGGGACATTACTTTTTTTTTTCACTTACTGTGTTTGTACTTGCTTGATGGTTTTGCTGAATATATGTATTAGGCTTGGAAATTTTTCTTTTCCCTCAAAATTCTTAAGGGATCATTCTATTGTTTTCTGAGTTCCACTGTTGCTATTGAGAAATCTAATGACATTCTGAATGCCAATAATTTGTATGTGACTTATTTCTTTCTTCATAAATATGTGTGTGTGTGTGTGTGTGTGTGTATATAATATTCTTCTTACTTTTGGTATGTGAAACTTTTATGCTCATTTAATTGTGTAATGCCTAGGTATTAAGTCTTTATAGTTAGAAAACTACACTTTTTTTTTCTTTTTTTTTTATCAGTACCAGGGATCGAACTCACGACCACCTGCTTGTAAGGCAGGTGCTTATGCCGCTGAGCTAAATCTCCAGCCCCTACTAATATCCTTGAGTTCTGTCAACTTTTATTACTACAATTTCTTCTTCCTAATTCTCTATTCTTAATGGAAATTCCTATTACTGAATGGTAGAACTTGTTCAATTAATCCTTTAAAATTAGTTTCTCTTCTAATTTTCCATGATCTAATTTTAATTATCTTTTCCCTCAGAGGTTCCTCTATGTTTTATCTATCTTGTTTAAATTTTAATTTCTGATCTTCTATATTTAATTATTTAAAAGTCTTTTATTTTAAACATACATTTTTGAATATCCTCTATTCTCCTTTCTTGGGCATACTGTCGTTATTTCTCTGAGTATCTTAGTTTTCTTCTATTCTACATGCTGGTGCTTTTTCCTGCAAGCTGCTTTTTTATGCTTATTTTTGCCAGAGTTTTTCATTTCAGAGAACATACTCAAATAGCCCATAATCTTGGCAGTCTCTTCATACATGAGGAAGGCCTTAAAAGTTGACCTGATGAGTGAATAGCTTTTTATGCCTTCACTGTCGTTTTAATGTGGTTTCTAAACAAAGTAGCAATAAATCCCACATTCACTATGCTTTGACTAATCACATACATCTTATTTTAGTAATCTAGGTCTGGTGTGGGGCTTTTCTGGATTGTTTACCATAGCAAAGCCAGAGAGGGAGAGGGAGAGGGGGAAGGGGACGGGGAGGGGGAGGGGGAGGGAGAGGGAGGAGAGAAGATACTTTAAAGAATTAATTTTTTACCTAATTCTTTCTTTAAGGTAAATTCTTAAAAAATGGAAATGTAAAAAGCATGCAGGTATTAGTTTTTCTGTATATTGCTTGATTGTCCATCAACAATGTTACTTACAGTTCATTCAAAATGCTACAATTTACTCTGTACATACATACTTTTACTGTACATGCAAACACGTCTCTAATTTAAAGCAAAAATATTTTCAAACTTTTTGAAAAATGTATCATAGTTCTTACTAGACATTAAATTACCCTCAGGCTAAACAAAATACTAACGAAAGGATATCTGAGTACTCTACGTATTGAAAATAAAAATACACAATATGAATTCTTAGTACTGTGATACACTCTTAAAAATTCAAATACAAATACAAATGTGAAGAATTGATATCAGTAAAAATACTTATCCAACATTTAAAAAGCTAGAGAAATTTAAAGAATAATCATTTATATTCTGGAAACACATACTTACATCATGCAAGCTATCAAGGAGTTTTGTAAGTTGGTAGAAACGTTGTGAGCTAGAAACAACTCCTTTCTGTCTCAAACCAATTGCCTTGATGAGCTCTCTAATGTAGCTTGCTCTCATTTCGTCAAACTGGCTTTGACTCCTTAGTCCTTCCAGAGGAACTGTAAGGAAGTACAGTTGGCAATCATGTTGACACTAACACGGTTAATATAAATTTCTGAATAGGTAATGATTTCTAGATAAATCATCTTATACAGGAAAAAGTGCCAATGATATTGACTGGACATAAAATTTTTGATTCTGGAAGAATATACCAACAACTGAGCTACATTAAAAAAATCACAGCTTACCTAATCAAGTACTGGAACAATAAATGACACATTTACCTTAGCATTTACTCAAAAAAGCACCCATTAATCCATCGCCCTATCTCAAATACCTGATTTGATTTGTTTTATAATTTCTGCACTTTGGGTCTTTCTTTTCTCTTTAACAAACACTGTATTTCTTTATGAAGTTTTTTCTTCTTCATACAAATCTCAAACATTTTCATTGAGATTATTATTCTTGGATAATATATCATTTTGTTGTTGTCATTTTAACATTGTTCACTAAATTTTCTAATGCTTTCCTGTTAATATGAGAAAAAGGTATCAATATCTGAATATTTCTTTTACATCCCAAAACTCCATGTTTAATTCAAGCATTTTTTTCAAGTACTGTTTTTCTTTTAGGCATATTTAAAAATACTACATTCAAGTGATATTTTTATTTTCCACTTTCTAATAATTGTAGCTCTAAATTCTGCTTCATAATTGAATGTATTGTTGAGCATTTACGGAACACTCATGGTGTATATTTGTATTTTATTTTTACTTAATGAGAGTGCCACTCATTCTTATTTTCATGCTAGCTAGTAATTTAGGTATTTACCTTTGAAATTTTTAATTCCGATATGCAGATTTTAAGCATAACTGCTAATTTTATGTTTATGTTACAGCGTCAATCCTACCACTACTTTTTCCCTAAATATTTGAAGTCCTTCTATTGTTAACTGATGTATCCTGGTTGATTTTTTTCCTAGCAGCTCTATTACTAATCTCCAGTTTCTTTCTTTAACTTTGCTTTGGAATTCGGAAGCCCCTTACTTACAAACTTCAACCTTAAGGGGACCATTTGCCCTTTTCTGTAGTTATGTCCAGATTGTTCAAAGAAAAATCATGTAACCTCTTAAGTTTATATTACAATACATTTGTGATCTTGACCTTAGCAAATTTTCTATTAAAAAGTACATTTAATTTAAAGGAAATTATATGTGCCCAGTAGTGAGGAAAAAAAAAATCTTTTAAGAAAAGCCTCTATTTCCTCCACCCTCATCAGCTTTCACTTCTCTTGAAAAAAAAAAAAAAGCCACATATATAAACCAAAAAGTTAATTATTTGATTTTGAGTTTTCAAATGTTGAATACAACATGTAAATTTTGCTCATTTGAAAACTTAACGCCTGTACATACACCTGTATGTCTATACTGTAGATATATCTATTATCTCTTCTCTCAAGTTATTTGACAAAGAAGTTATTTCAAATTTTCTCACATCTCTAAGGTTTCCAATGGAAACCTATTTTTTCCTCACTTTAAAATAAGCACATAAATATGTTTTCTTAATATTTTCTTAGTAAATCCTCTTAAAATTTTCGTGTAATTTGTAAGAATAGTAAAAGTATATATTTCCTATTATCTGTTCCTAGAGATATGTATTTTAGTTTAATTTTGTTATACATGATCAAATTCATCCTTGCCAATTTTCTCATTGTGTTTCATTTTATAAAGTATTTCTCACATGAGACTTAGAAATAATTTACCATATATATCTTGTAGTTTGTCCTTCAATGATTTGGATGTTTTTCAAGTTAGCTCAGTTATCTTTTATCTTTTCAAGTAAGCTTTAGTTATCTAGATTAGGAAATGATTTGGGGTAAATATCCAAACAGATTTTCCTTCAAATATAATGTTATTTTTGTCAACAATCATTTATTTCATCCTAACTGATTTATATTGTTTCTATTACAGTATTTATGTTCTAATATATATACTTTACTGACTTGATTAAAAATTCAAAGTATTCTTTTTCCATGCTGTATTCATTTTTGTGGCATTCTAATTCTTCTCATATTTTTGTAAGCTTCTCTACTTATTTGCCTAGATTTATTTATTGTTTTATTTATTATTTATTTTGGGGACAAGGTCTCACTGTGTAGTTCAGCTGAGCTTGAACTCACTACGTAGCCCAGGCTGGCCTTGATTCACAGCTATCCTTCTGCCTCAACCTCCCAAATGCTGGGATTGCAGGTGCGCACCTCCACACCTGGCAGCCATCTATATTTAAAGATGAGTTTTCAATATCTTTTGCAAGTTCTCTCCATTGCCAAACATCTCATTACAGTTTTGATTTGCAGATACGGAAAACATAAATATTACGGCCCCAAATTTTTATTTTTCCTTCTATATGAAGTGGTAAGTGGCCAAGAATCTTGCTTTCTACTGCATGTGTATGAAAGCCGTATCTGTCACTTCTTTTCTTTGCAGTTGCTCTAGTGATTATGGATGCGTATGTCAAGGTGCAGTCTCTGTCTGGATCTCTGAATGATGACAATAGCAGAGTTTTCTGTTGGTCTGCTCTGGACTTGCAGAGGGGTTGTTTGGTACCTCAACATAATGTACTCAACCTATAAATCCAGAGCTGTGCTAAGGATACATATGAAATCAAGACATTTGGGACTACCTGTGACATAACTACTATATGATTCATTATTGTCAAGTAAAAAAGGACAGGAATTGATGGGATATAATATAAAGGTACTTTGGTTGACTTCCTTGGCCAGTCCCACTTACATTAACTGTCTTTATTCACTCTATCCTCTTTCACCAAATAAGGCTTAAAAATCCCTGCTTGAAACAGGTTCCCAAGAGGGAGTTAGATGGGTTATAGATCATTAGATCCCATATAGTTCCACCCTTCGCATAAATTCCATAAGAAACCTTCCTTTTTAAGGAATTAGATTTTCTGCCTGTCTTCAGATGTGTCTGCTTTTCAAGTTGGCAAGGGGTAGATTGTTATGGTTAATACACTGTGTCAATTTGAAAAGCTTAAAAATTTGACTAAGAGACTCAGCAGGGAGCCAGGATCCTTACTTTGTAAACACCCACAGACTGTGCAAGAGGAGGGCACGAGATGCTGTGAGAGCTACACCTGCCTTGGGGTAGGGGTTCGGAGCCTGTTTACAATGCAAGGGAGAAGAAGAGGCTTGTTACCCCTCTGCCTCCTTGTACTCTTGCTGCTTTGCTGTCTTCTGCTGCCTTAAAGTGTTGCCCCTGTGCCATGCCACCCTGCCCTGGAGCCGCTGATGATGGACTGAAACCTCCTCAAATTGTGAGCTAATTAACCCTCTTTTTCCTTCATTTTGGGGTATCAAGTATTTTGTCTCAGCATCAAGAGAAAAGTAACCAAAACACCTCCTAACCTGATCCTCCAGCCAGTTGCAATTTGTGCCACTACAGGGGAGTCTCTGCAAAGATGCCACAGAGACTGCTCCGTCACTGGGCTCACTCAACCTAAAACCTTAGCTCCCTGAGACTTTCTTGCAAATAATTTGAATCAAGGAAGCACCAATTTGTACATTAAACATGCTTATGTAAGGGAAGGACACAGAAGACAAATAAGTGTAGCTTTTTATTATTTAAAAACTCCCTTCCTGATGGTAGGGTAATGAAAAAAAAGGCAAGTTGTATCATGTACAGGTGCGAATTCTCTATGATGAATGTGATCATTATGTGTATCTCATATGTACCAATAGACTTATTAAAAGTTAAAATAAAAACTCTCCCTCTCTCCCTCCCTCCTGCCCCCTCCTTTCTTCTTGCGGTTTTATTTTTCCCATTCCGACCTTTGGGAACTCACTAAGGTAAAGGTGATTGTTCCTTGTGTATGAAACAGTGAAATGGGTATTTTATTCTGTCATATTGGTGACCAACATTATGTTTTTATATCATTTCTTCTTCTAAGCATTTCTTTTGAGGATAGAAGTGCTGTACAGTTTTTAATGCTTTCAATTTTGCCTCCAAACCATCCCTGCCTCAGGACTCATTACTAGTGAGATGCCATAAAGGATTCCTGGCTACGAGAAAGAGGGGGCCACTATTTGGAAGCAGCCTGCAGTTTTCTTGTTAATTCTCTGCACTGTGGGTAAGTGACAAACACATTGCTAGTACCCTAAATTACTTATCTTTGTAACAATTTTAATAATGATGTAATGAGAATAACTCCAAAAATTGTGTATTTTATATAGTAAATACCTTGGGAAGGTGGAGGAGGAAATCATAGTTTGCATTTATTAATATTAATTAAAGTACTAAATTATGTGAATACAAAAAAGCATTTAAACATTTTATCTAAATTAAATTGGATAGACTAATTTTAGTATCATAGGTAGATAAAATAAAAACATGAAGCAACTTTATTAATGTCTATGATAACTAGATATTTCTTCTTGGCAGTTACAATCTAAGACTTATATCTCAAAAATAATTATATGATCATATTACTATTTGAGACTTCATAATGAACTGCAAATTGAGAAATCAGGTATCTCTCATTAAGTTCTTGTACTCACTTACTTGTGTTAAGAAGTAGTAATACTTTCATACAAAGGAACTCTTCCTCGGTAACTTGAAGCTTCACAAACTCCTGTGGGATTTGCCACATGGTAAGGCACAAGGAATATAAGGACGATTCTTTCATCCTCTGTCTTGCTCCACACATAAACATAAAAGAAAAAGCAACAGGAAAAAAGTCTCAGCCAGTTTTTGTATTCTATCACAGAATATGATGTTAGAAATGATTTCGCATATCATTGAGTATGACTGCTATATTTAATAAACTTAATATTTGGAATTCAAAAAATCTTTAAACTTTTTCTAATAGGTATTTTTTTGGGCAGTACTGGAAATAACCTATGGCTGTAGCCCTGCATCCCAGCCTTTTCTTTCTTTCTTTTTTTTTTTTTTTAATTCTTGAGAAAGGGTCTTGCTAAGTCTCTAAATTCCCCAGGCTGAGCTCAAATTTGTGGTCCTCCTGTCACCTCCCAGAATACTGGCATTATAGGTGTGTGCTACCATGTCCAACTCTGGTGCTAAATTTTTGAGGCTAAGAAAATAAATTTTAAATTATAAAATATATTAAATATACATTGACTAAACAATATTGTCTCTCTCTTTCATTATCAACATTTTAAACATCTAAAGCAAGAAAAAAGTACAGAAGTCTTAGGAATTGAAAATGTGAGCTAAGGCATGTATATTTTTACTGATAAATTTTTCCCATGAGAACACACACACACACACACACACTTATGTGTATATATAATGTTTGACTGCACATAAGTGGGAGAATTACTTCAACAGAAAGTAAACACATTGTGACCTTTTCTAGGGAAAATGTATTATGATGTAGAAAAGAAAAAAAGAAACATTAGCAAGCATAAAATAATTGACAAAGTGAAAAATAAATACTATGGTAGTGATTACAAGGTATTTTCTCAGCCATGTACTGTTTTATAATGTTAATTTAAATTTAAAAAAAGCTAACAGGAATTGTGAACACATTAGATTTTGACTTAGAAGAGTTAAGATTAATCCTACCAAATTTGACAGTTTATTGAATTCTCCTGAACCTCAGTTTCCTGAACTGTAAAATGACGGGTGATGATTTCTGGCCTATTTTAATGGGTTGCCAGAAAAATGAAATGAAATACATGAAGTCTGTGAAGACTTAAACAAGTTTAAGTTTTTAATTGAAATACCTCTAAGTCAGCATTCACCACTGGAACTGCATAAATATTACAATGAAATGTCCATATTTAAATGTTTTATGTAGAAAATAAATTATTTAAATATAATAAAGCCAATTGAAATATTTATCTTTCAATTGTTAAAATAAATTACTAGTCCTTTCTTACAGGATCAAAGATAATATTTTTATTTTTCAGAGGTAAGTCAATACTTTCAGATAAAAGTATTTATAATTTATTTTATTATCATCATTGGCACTAAGATATGAAACTTTATAAACTTAAACATTTAATTTTGTCTTTATATTTGTTGACACAATTTTGAAGAATATAATAAATTTAAGATAATGATACATACTGAAACTAAAGGAAAAAGTTCTAAATACCAAAATTACTGACAGAAATGCTACCCTGTTATTTCAAGATTGTCATTTCAAGCTGTATCTTAGGTAATTCTGAGAAATCTTTCAGGAAATTCTACTTTTTAGGATATTAAATCAATGATCATTTATTGAATTATAATTTCAAAATTATCCTACATACACACTCACGATAATAATAAGAAAAAGAAAAGATACTTACTCATTTAGTATTAAATCAGGTGCAAAATATAACATCTGCCCACTGACATGCTTGTAGGACCTCCATCCTAATGCAAAAACCATTAAGCTCATCCAGGAGTACTGAATGAGAGTTATCTGGTCATCAATGTGTAAGTTCCGAAAGCCTACAAAACACATTTTAAAATGATCATAAAAAGTTGTTTTGAAAATGTTGAAAACACACAGAAACATGAAAATAGATGTAAGAGGGCTAATATGTTTTTGACTTCGATATTTTTTCCTAAAATTTAGGAAACATGAACAAATAATACAGCGTGAAAGTGAAAAAAGGGCAACAACTTTGGGAGTCACTTAAAATTAACCGCTGTGAGTTAGTATTTCTGGGAATATGCTAAGTGAATCCATCATCTCTCACTCATTAGACAACACCCTGCTACAGAGGACACTATGTGGACACCATGCTAAAATGTTAGGATTATGAAGACCGAATCCTTGTCCTCAAAAGAAGCTCAAAACAGAACTAGAGGGGCTGGGGATTTAGCTCAGCGGCATAAGCTCCTGCCTTGCAAGCTGGCGGTCGTGAGTTCGATCCCTGGTACCGATAAAAAGGAAAAAGACAAAAAAAACAAACTTAACTAGAGTCAAGTTCATGAGATAGGTGGCCAGAGGTTAAAAGGTGTACCTCAGCAAAGGGCAAAGCAGGCCAAGAAAAACTTCCTAAAAGATAAAGAGAATGCTTGGGTGAAATACGTTCAGTTTGTTGAGGAATCTCAATCTTACAGAACTTAAAGAAATCGGTTTGGATTTGTAAAATCACTGCTCTCAGTTGTGTTATATCTAATTTTCCTTTAATAACATTTGTCTTGGAAATGTAAGCTTGGGTCAGACTATGAAGTCTGGTCAATGGAAGGGATGCACCCATATATGTACTATAGATGGTCCTTGATACCTATGTGAAAGGTATTTTCAGGGGAGTACATTTTGGAGTTAAGAGAGATGTTGCCAAAGGCCAGGTGAAATGATAAAGCTTGACATAAGTCAACATGCAGGAATTAAGAAGAGTGAGTTCTTAGAGAAATATTTACATGCAGAGTAAAATAAAAGAGATTTATTTTATGTATGTAATTGTATGTAGGTAGGAAGAAGGACTTAAATATATTTTTCAGTAGTTTTTTTCCAAATGCTCTAGTAATATCTAGCATGGCTAAGATAGAATACTGTACTGGGAGAGAAACAAGCTAAGGAGAAATGTACACATTTGAACATGTTTGAGGGACTCTGGAATACCTAGATATCAACTGGGCATGTGGACAAGAAAGGCTGGGGAAATACCAACGCTACAAATATGTAATTTACTTACATCTGACTACAGCTGAAACAAGGAAAGTAGGTAAAATCTTTTATTAAAGATGAAGAAATGTGAGAATAAATAGCAACCATTATTTTAAAGCTCTGAATATCATCAATTTCTCCTAAAAATCCACTGACACACATTTATGAATGACTTAATTCAGAAATAAAACAAAACTTTATTCATTAGAAACCAAGGGCAAAAGAAACTCACCTCCTGACTACATAGGACACTTAAAGACAGCAGAAAAGAAAGCCCTTTTCTCTTTGCCTACTCCAGATGGTCCCCCCTTCCTGTGAATACTATGAAGAAAGTTACTCTGCTCTTGGAACTCTTTAACTTACCTGCGACCCAGAACAGCTCTGGTGCGTATTCATAACTTCGGGTGCCACAGAGCCCTCCCTTCCGGGTTGGGGAGCGGAAAGTGCTGTTCACTGTCTAACCTCCCTCCCTCCTCCTGTCTCTTTCTCTACTGGTTAGAGTCTGGTGACACCGTGTGTCCAGCCTTCATACCAAGCAAGCTGGCTAATGCCTCTGCTTTCCTGGGCTTACACAGAACACATTCTACCAAGACGCTGAACTGGAATTAGTGAAGCAAACATACAGATACAGTTATTTATTTTGCATAGGATGGTCCCCAGGGGTGGTGGGATCCAGTGGATATATTTGTAATGCTGCAATTTTTCCCCCTTTTTTTTTTGTTTGGTCCTTTGGACACACCTCAGTTTCTGCTCATTTTTCATATTTGTCCTCTAACTTCTATTCAGTAAATCCCTGGGTGTCCACTGGTATTTTTATTTTTTTCTTTTACTTTCCTTTCTGATAGCCAGGTTTATAAAAAATTTTTTAAAGAATTATATGACTTTTTTTGTGCGCATTTAAGACTTCTGATTTACTCAAGTATAGAAAGACTAAAAAAAATTGGCAAGTAAATTTTATCTTTTAAATTTTCATATGCCTTAAATATACTGTTAAATACATATTTACATAATACTCCTCTTAGAAAAAAGTTACAAATCTTAACACAAGATTAGAAAAAAAAGTTACGTGTCAACTGACTATCATGTTTTTAAAAATAGTAGTGGTCTGTGGGTTTAGCTCAATGGCACAGCGCCTGCTTGGTAAGCTCAAGGTCCTGAGTTTGATTCCCAGCACCAAAAAAAAAAAAAAAAAAAAAAAAAAAAAAAAAAAAAAAATTCTTTGGTAAATTTAAAATAATTTGATAAAAGATCAGTGAATTTACTTAGTTTTTTTAAAAGAGGAATATATATATATATATTTTATGTTTTCCTGTTTAACATTGGCCATTCTCTTCAAATTAGGAGTTCTGGAGACAAGACCTAAATTCCAATCTTGGTTCTGTCCTTACTGAAAGCTACTTGGGGCAAGTCATTTAATGTCACTGCATCTACATTTCTTCATAGATAAGAGAATAATAAGAAAGATAACTAATCAATTACTTGCCATAAACTCATATGTGATAATTATGCATATTTTAAAGCACAATACAAATACGTATTAGTCTATCAAGTGCTAAGTCTGATAGTCTCTAATTTTAAAATAGAATGAGATTGAAACTGTGCATCATTTTATTTTATACAATCTATATAATACAGCTAAATTATAAATGTTAGTAATGACAATAAATTCAAAAGATAAATATTCTATCTGGGATATATATTTCCCCAAATATGTGCTTCAAATGTATTTTAATTTATATATATATAAACTCCCCCCTCTTCTGTCTCTCTCTCTACATATATATATACACATATATAGATATATAATTTTACAAAGAGACAGAGACAGGCTTGTAAAAAAAAGTCTATTAATTAGCTGTATTAAAACATTAAGACCTAGGAATATAAACCTGAAATATATTTATACTCTCTCTCTCTCTCTCTCTTTTTTTTTTTTTTTTTTGGTACCAGGGATCAATCTCACCACCTTGCACTTGCCAGGCAGGCACTTATGCCACTGAGCTAAATCCCGGCATACTCTCTATATTTTTTCATACTTATTTTTCTAACTTTCTACAGAAAATACTTAAATACTGGAGCTCATTATTTTTACTTTTTGTTAACCCCTAGCTAGTTTTATAAAAGTTTTACTTTTATATAACAGGCCATTAATTTATTCTTTTTTAAAAAATAGCATTTCTGTTTATATTTAAATTCACTTTTTTCATATTTGTCTTTATCTGTTTGATGTTTGTTTTGTTTTTGAATTCTGGGACTATTAATGACTTGAATAAAGGGACACATCCATTATAACGTACAAGGCACAATTTATCAAAATATCTTAAAATTTACCCAATTGTCAATATTTATAGCAGGAAATATATTTCCACTTAATAGAACTGAACTCAGAAAATAACATCTATCTATCTGCTTCATCCTTTGGAAGGTTTGTCTGTGATAAATGCATAATGCTAAATTGATTTGAACATGCCTTATTGGAAATGCAAGTTTTTCTGCATCAAATAAGATAGTCCATTATTTTATAATGAAACAAAGATGCAGATACAGAGCTCATATTTCAAATGGTGACAATGATCCTGTCAATTTAGTACATTTGAGATGATGATCAAAATGGAAAACAGAGAAATGATGGTCATTTGCTTTTTAATGACCTTGCTTTTGATGAATGAACCTTGCTTTTTAAATGACCTGACAACTCCCTAAAAATCTCAATTTACAGCCTGTCCAATTGTAAACTCTTGAAAAAATTAAAAGAAACAATACTGTAAAGAGATAGCCTCTATTACCTACAAAATTTCTCTGATATTACTTCCAGAGTTCTGATAAAAATAGACAGGTTGTACTTCGGTGTAAAAAAAAAAAAAATCATGAAATTGAAAGAGCTAATGTAAAACCAGGGCAGAGAATTATACATTCAAGCACCTTCTGGCAGAAAACAGGAAATTTCAGACACAAATATGAATTCTGAAGAGGACAGAGAAGCGTCCGTATAATGTGTGTAATCATCAGCCCCATTCGGTGACTTACAAGGCAGTGCAGTCCTTTGTACAGCAATTCTACTCTTTATATTTCGGTAAACCACTTTTAAGCACCTAAGTGAAGTGAAGCGTTATGGTTTCCACTAAGCACAAAGATTTAAAAGATGCTGTTTCTGCCTTTGACATATGTAATCTGGTGACAGACGTAAAAGTACAAGATGATTTTAATCTGCAGTGTCAGTGTCACGGCTCACAAATGTAAGCGAGGTGTGGAACAGTGACAGTTTCTTCTGGTCTGGGAAGGCCCCGGGAAACCTTTGTAGAGGGCGTGTCAGACGATGCGAATATTGATGGCTAGTGAAGGTCAGCCAGGAGACCAGCAGGGACAAGTGAAGGGCCTCCAGGTAGATAACAAAAACAGGCAAAGAGGAGGGAGAAAGAGGAAGGACATGAGCAAAGAGCATTGTGGGAACTAGAGCTTAGGGTTTCTTGAAGGAAGGATTCATGAGAGCAAACACTGTGAATTCAGGAGCCAGATCAGAAAGGCCATCGGTACGAGGCTAAAGAGTTTAGACTTACCTTCTGAAAAGAAAAAGAGAAGGCATAATTCATTCTAATTGTTTTAAACAGATGGTTCTTGATAGAAGATTGTTTGTGGGCTGAAATCTAGGTAAAAGATGACTACCACCAAACTAAAGTCAGGATGGTATTAGCAGTGCAAGCTGTATGAATAATAAACGACACATTTAATAAGCGAAGTTCACAGAATTAGACAGCTAACTAGCCTAGGAATTAAGAAGAAAGTGAGCCAAAGATGATGCCAAAGAGCCTAGTTGGGGTGTCATTCCAAGATACAGAAAAAAGAGGTTAGGTTTCTTGAGAAGAAGGCATGTTGATTTGGAAGTTCATCTAGATGGAGAAATATAATAAGCTGAAATATACAGTCCAGTAGCTTAGTAGAGGGGCTGAGCTGGTGGTATACACTTAAAAGCTGTTGGGATATAATGGTAATTCAAGACAAGGCTGTGAATAAACTCATCCGGACCGTGCAGAGTGAGAAACTACTGGAGTAGAAAACAGACCTCAGGCTGTACCAAATTTATGGTATACGTGGAAGAGCAATATTCCAGGAGTTATGAAATAGTTTGTTAATGGCTATACAGGTAAGGAGATATCTTTGAAAATATTTATCTGACTTTCTGTTTCTTTCTTTTCTTTTCTCTCCTTCCTTCCTCCCTCCCTCCCTCTTTGAGGTTGCATGGGGTCAAACACTCCTGGTATCTTTTAAACTTAAAAAGCTCGCTTATCCAAAGTAAGTAATTATCTTTTGAATTATAATTGCTTATTCTCCAAATTTATCAACTAATGGTAGAATCATTTTGAACATATAAGGCAAACAACATAAATATGATCTCTATAAAAAAATCATCTATAAATAATAAAAAAACAGAAATAGTGAAATGCTATTAAACACACATTTTATATAATACTTTTATCAATGTTATCAGCACCTTTTGCTTAATGAAGGACTGTCAAGTTTGATAACTACCTTTATGAACTTATTCAGAACTTTCCTAATGAAAAAAAAATACCAGTCCAAGGCTTTCAGCTACATTAAAGTTAATGAAAAGCTGAACAACTTTCTTGCAAGATGAGTTTTTAAAAGATGCTAAAAACAGGGATATATTTTTCTGTTTCTTTCTGCAACACTGAATGTTCAGTAACAATTCATCAATTATGTTTCAAACTTTTCAGGTAGAATAACAACTGAGAAATAGAATTTTTAAAAAAATTCTACTTAATTCACTTGGGGACTAAAGGACATAATATTAATGCTTGGTCAGATATTGGAAAGATAAGTTGGTTTGGAAGTATAAATATATTACTGGTGTGAAGAGAATGTAATTTTTGAAAAGAGATTTCTAGTTCTAATCATGAGATTAACAGCTCCACAAGCAGGTGTTGCACAGCTCCTTGTTCTGTAGTCAAAGGTTTAACCAAGTGAGAGTCTCACCCTTACTCTTTCAACCATTTGGCTCTATGAGCTATGTAGAAGGAATAAAATGTGGGAACTGACTGAAATAATTTCCTAATGATATAACCTAAGTCCTCTCTGTTGCTGGGCTACAGCCCCTTTATTTGGTTATAAGTTAGAAGAAACAATGACTGGAGGTTATTTTCTCTATGTCCAAATGACTTCATTATGTTTAAGAATTTTGTTCTTCTTAGTAGACCTTAGATGCCTTACTATACTCTGAATTTTGACTTGTTGAGTTTTATTTTTGCCTAATTAAGGTTGACTCAATTAAGTTTTAGAATATATTGGACATTTTTAAAAAATGGTCAGTATATCTTTCTCTGAACTACTGTTGTATCTGTGGTTGGACACCCATTCGCTATTTCTTAATTGTTTTATAATTCTTGACTTATGACGTAGACTTCACGTGCTACCATGTGTTTTACATTATAGTTAGTCTGGCACACAGTTTTATTTAACAATACACATGTACAAATGTAAAACAAACAGTACATTTTTGTTGAATGCTGTTATATATCTTTTTTACCTGGCAGCGATTTAGACCACTTGACAACTGACAGAAGCTGCCTCTCGCCTAGTTGATTAAGACTTGTCAGCAAAGAACTGGAGGTGTCGGGTTTTGTGTTGTCGTGTCCTGCATAGACCATATCTGGTTCAATGCTCAACAACAGGTTGATCAGCGGGGGGACCAACTGTAGCTCTTGACTGGGTGAAAAGGTGATTCTTTGGCTTTCATTTGGAATGCCCACTGGCTGTGAGAGAGCAACACCATCGAGTGTTCTCATAACTCTGACTTTATTGAACTTCTTAAACTTTCGACCTACAGTAAAAAAAAAAAAAATAATAAAAAATAAAAGAAGTTCACGTAAGTAGGAACTAAATATTGAACTAAATATCACAATAGTGTATTATTTTTCCTAGGTCTTAAGAATCATAGTATTGTAGATTTTGGCATAATAAAATCCAACTCTCAGATCTCAGATTTGAATTAAGAAAAATCATCAGATTAGTGTGGTGTGGGTAATTACATCAGGATCACCAAGGGGCTGTGGAGCTTTGTAGGAAAAAAGACAAGTTGTTTTTAGTAGAATCATACTTGATAGATTTTAGCATCAGACTAATGCAATGAAATAAAATCCAACATTTAAGTTTCAGTTTGTATTAAGTAATAGCATTCATTGGATTAGTGTGCTGTGAGTGATTACTCCAGGATCCACCAGGGGGCTGTGGTGCTATGTATGAAGAAACACAAATTGCTCTTACAGAGACTAATCTCAGCGCTAAGCAATCTTCTGACAGGACTGCCTTCCAAAAGCTAAGCTTCAGATCACTTTAACTGAAATATGGTTTGAAATTTGTACAATGATTGTTGAATCTTGTTTGAGGCTTTAATCTTTTAAAGAGCGTTTAAAAGATATTCATATATATGCAAACCCTATACAATCTTTTCTATAGTATCAGCAGGTTCATAGATCCCTTGAAATCATCCCATGGGCTATTATGAGATCTAAGGAATAAAAGTAAAAGCATCTTTTTTAAGTTAAGACAGTATGCATCCCATACTGTGTGCTGGTCACACGACACTGGTATTTTTAGACAATTTCTAGAATGTCTATCTGACGAGCTGTGGTGTGTTGGGGAGAAAAACGTGACTGTGAGATGAACAGAATTTACCCCATGAGGATGCACTGATTCATGCAGCCTCTTGTGCTTCACAGATGCCTTGGAGTGGATTATAACAAATGTCCTGGTGACCCGAGGGCAGGCTGGATTACAGCCCCACCTGCTGTGTGCCAGGCAGGAGCTGCTGGTCAGTATGAAGTGGCTGTGCTGCGTAGCTGAGAGGGGCCTGGTAACTGTTTACAATGATTTAAGTGTAGGCTGCAGTCTGCTGGCTCTAGTACCTGATCAGTCTCATAGACATTTAATTTTTTTGGCTCATATAAAACTGGTCAGTCATAAAAACACCCCTGGGTTAGTGAGATGACAGTGACATGTTAAAACTGCACACTGATTTGTCCAGTTCTGGGCACAGACTGGCGGTAGAGCAGTGGTCAGTCTTCACAGGTCTTGCCACTCTACACAGTTTACTCACCTGCTTGTCTCTGTGATATTCATCTTTGTGATTTCTGAGCCCAAATGTTAGCATAAGAAAAATGGAGCGCACTCTGATAAAACTCCAAAGAACTGACGCTAGTACTTAGGTGACAGGGAAATAACTGTCAGGGTCAGTATACAAAAAGGATCCAAAATATTAAGAACAAACGAGCTTCTTAGAGAAGGAATGGGTCATCAAAGACAAGCAAAGTAGCAAGAGCCTCACAAAAATTTGAGAAGTGAGAATTATTATCTCCAATTTTAAACTGGGAATGTGAAGATTAAAGAAGATATTACACCTGAGGTTAGAGTGGTAGAGCTCAGTTTGTGTTGTTACTGATGCCCCAACCTTTTCTACTCCCGGCCATCGTTAGAGTTTCTGGTCTGGGCTGCATTTTTGTTCAGAAACATTCTGGTGAAGAGGGTTGAGTGACAGATTGTGGGAGAGCACACACAATTGGAATTCAATGTTTGGTAAGGTTGGTTACAATCCTAACGTGCTAAGATTAACAAAAAACACACCCTCCATATCCCTGATAACTCCAAGAAGGAAACTATCTTCCTCCCAATTTCTTTTCCCTTTGTATTTTAGTATTTATAATAGTTAAAGCTTAATATTTAATGACCTAAGTTAAACAACAGGAATTCAAAGTAGAATTTAATACAGAATGTTGGAGTTTGATAAAAGTAAAAAATAATGCTTATGTTTAGGAATAATTTTTACATACAAAAAAACAAGCCTTTATGTTTTGAAGATTATATAGATTAAATACATAAAATCAAAATTTCTTGTAACTATCCAATCCAAAGTTATTTTATAGTTTGTGGGTACAGTAATTTACACTGGAAATACTAAGTGTAATAATAGACATAGTCTGAACCACATAGAGAATGATTTAAGATGGAGAATTATACCCATCCAGTTCTCCCATAACTCTCTTCACACTTTATTGTGATTTCTAATGCAACAGCACGATTGAGAATGTACAGCTAAACAAGGTACTGTAGAGTGAATGCCCAGCCAAAAGGCTGAACACAGCCAGCGCCTCCGAAGATGCTCTTCAGCCTTCTCCGTTCACACTGAAGATAACCCAGCCTCTCTGCTACCACAGTTCCTCCCCTGCTTTGCTTTTCCTTTTTTTCCAGTCTACTTTAACCTTCTTTCTCTTTTTCATCTTTTCAATTCTGATTTCATCAGGACTTGATCACACTATTGGTTTCTTTGAATTTGAATTAATTACATTATTTGTACTTCTGAAAAATAACAGCACCTGGTGTTCTGAGTCATGTAACCAGATACTAGGTGTTTTGAGTCAGTAACCCTCCTTATGCCCTTTGCATCTACTAGAAACAAATCATGTGTATGCATGCTTTCATATTATTGTTGTAAGGAGGGGGGCTTGAGGGGATAAAAAAAATAGAGGAAGAAAGTGACTGAAGAGTCTTCAGTCATTCAACCTGATGGAAGAGGTTTTTAAGAATGGAATTAGATGCAGAGAAACTGACTTTCTGGAGGCTCAGAGAAGCCATCTCATATCCTCTCCATCAGCATATTCTGATGGTTAGTATGAAAATACAATGCTTCTCCCGTTTCCATTGCTCCACCACTGTTTAGGTCACCAGTGACACAGACAACTGCCAAATGTGGCTGCGTTCCCCAGATTTTACCTTCTGTAGTCTATTTACAAAACCAAGTGAGCTTTAAAAACTGAAATCAGACTGTCACTCTTTGTTCATGACCCGCCGTTACATCCAATCCTATACAAAGTCTTTATCAAGCTCTGTAAGGCTCAACGTAATCTTGCATAGACTTTCTTATACTCTCTTGCCTTTGTTCCGTTCATATTGAACCTGTTAAGTCTCTACAAGGCAAAAACAGTTCTATGTTGTGTGTTTATTTTGTTGTTTGTATTTTTAAATAAGATATAGGCTTGTTGTTTATAGAACAGCATCTCATCCATGGTAGATACTCAGTAATTTTCTTGAATAAATCAGTAATTAGATCCAATAAAAATTCTATTCGCCACAAGGGCTCTATCATGAGCTGGACTCCTGCCAGATACTCTGCTCCCTGAAGACTGGGAAAAGATCCAAGAGGAATTTCCCTTTAGTAAAAGACAATCTAAGTTGTTTTTACTTTTTCTGAGAAGTCTCTGTTATCTTGGATGCCTATTTTTGGATTGGGTCTTTGAATATGGAGGTTCTGGGTTTTTTTTTACTTCTTAATATGTTCTAGATATTAGTCCCTTGTTGACCTAGCTACTCATCTTCTGGTATCTTCCTGGAAGAATTAAAAGCAATATTACTCAGCTTAAAGATAGATGAAATTGAGACATTTAAAACTAAATAGATGGGCCTTGAATCCATAATCTTAAGTGAAATAAATTGGACATGTATGTGTAAACATTGCATTATCTCTGTGGTGTGAGAAACTGGAAATGTAAATAAGAACCAAATGGTACAGTAGATATGGTGGAGTGGGAAGGAACTCTTCAACAGGAAAAGGGAGCTAGGGAGGAGAGAGGGGGAAAGGAAGGGAAAAAAGAAGGGAGAGAAAAAAATGAAAAAAGAAGGATAAAAGGAAAACAGCTTTATGAATAGGGAAGGGAAGGGGGTTTGAAAGGACAGGATAGGATTGTGGGGAAAAAAAAGAGAACACAAGATACATTATGAATAGGTATAAATTCCATAAAATGAATGTGATCATTATTTATACCTAAACTATACCTATAAACTTAAACAACAACAACAACAAAGACAGTCTAAAGCAGGCGGTTTAGTATATTTCACAACAGAACGTTTGGATTTTCACATGCAAATTTCAGCCCTGGATGCCCTTCTACCACAGCTGCATTTATCCCCAGTCACTGTTTCCTTCTCATTCATATCCAAATACTTGAGGTTTCAAATCTTGTAGCTCTGATTATTAAAATAAGAGGATAACTAAAACAAGTTTGGGGAAGCAGAAGGGAAATAAGGGAAAACAACAGCAAACAGCAGGTCAAGATAGAAGTACCCAAATTTAAATATGTAGTAGGAGGTAGACATAAAAAATGGGATTAAACTGGGTGTGATGGTGTAAGCCTATAATCCTAGCACTATGGGAGGCAGAGACAGGAGGATTTTAGGCCAGCCTGAACAATTTGGGAACTCAGTGAGACCTTGTTTCAAAATAAAAATTTACGTAACTCAGAAGATTCAATCTCCAGTAACACACACACACACACACACACACACACACACACACACACACCTCACATAAAAAATATTTTTAGAAATCATAAGAAATGTAAAATAAAAAATCAGATAAAACTACAGGCTGGAAGAAGCATTGTAAGAAGTAGTCTCGGCGTATGTCACATTGCATGCTTATAACTGGCACCTTTGTTTTAAGAAATTAAAGAGAAAAAACATCAAATCAAAGATGAAGCAACTACAAACCGAATAAAACAAGGTAAGAGAGCAGGAAAAATAAAGTTATTTAGATTTTGAAATTTTATTACAAAAACTAAATGAAGACATGTTGTTAGCATAAAAAACAAAGACATAAAGTTCAGACTTGAGAAAGCTGACCGAAGGAAATACTAAAATAAATAGAGGAAATATGATAGATGTGAAGGACAGTTAGGCAGAGGATCAACACAGGTTTTTATGGGAGACTATGAAAAAGGAAAGAAAATACAGAACAAAAAAATGCTTACAGACAAACACTAAGAGAACATT